TAAGCCATGGAAGCAGGCACATCCCACCCTCCTGTCTCCTACCCACGAGCTGTAATTAAGTTTCCAACTGTGCTTTCCTGATTGTTTCTCTCGGCCGGTTCGGAGCAGGGACGGGCTCCCCCCCTGGGATCTGGAGCGGGTCCAGGCTGGCAAACGTTCTGTCTTCAGCAGGCAGGAATTGCCTGCCTGTTTTCCCAACATCCCCCTCCTCTTTGGCTGTTCGGGGCCCTCCTCATCTTCCCCAGCCCTTGGCAAGGTCCCTGCTCAGGAGAAAGCTTTGGTCCAAGGTGGGGAAGAACTGGTTTGCCCACCAGAGCCCCTCTCCAAGGGCTGCTCTGGGTGTCTGGGCACTGCCAGGGACGTGGCACAGGCAGTGCAGAGGAGCTGGCAGGGTGCTGTAAGCAATCAGCAATCTGTCCAGGAGCTTCTCTTCCCTGCACTGCAAAAGAGCACTTCTAACATTACATTTATGATTATTGTTATTAAGCTGGAGAAACATTTTAATGTGAATGCTTGGGGGCTTATTAAGCTACGGCTCCTCACCTCAAGATCTCAGAGCACTTGAAGCCAGCTTGTTATTAATCCCTACTTAAATTGAGCTACTTGCCTGGTGACTTTGGGGGGCTGGGGATTACTGAGTGCAGGTTTTGGAAGCGGGAGAATCCAGGCACAGAGCTGGCTGGGGAGCTGAGGCTGGAAGCTCTGGAGCTGCAAGCACAGGCTGCTCTCCATCCTCCCTGCCCCGATCCAGGGAGGCTTGGAAGAAGGCTGGGATGGGGATGGATTGAGAAGCTGGTGCAGGAGCTCTGAAGTGGAGCACCTGGTGTAAATGGCAGCGTGGCCAGAGCTGGCAGGTGGGAGAGGAGTGGACTCTGAATCCTGAATGCTGAGGTTTTGGACGCAGGGACTGAAGGGGAGAGCGCAGTGCAATCCTCCTCCTCCTCCTCCCTGCCTGCATCCCTAAACTCCCTCAGCTCCTGCATCCTTACCCCAGCTCAGCTCCTGCCTCCCCACACCAACTCCCACACCCCTCTGGGTGGCTCATGGCCACTTCCTCTTGGCCACAGTGTCCCCATCCTGTTCCCAGCTGTCCTTCCAGCCATTTTGGGCATCTGCAGGCGCTGTTGGACACGAGGAGGTGGAGCTGGTGCCATCTGCCCTGGCGGCTACTCGTGGAGCACCAACCACCTGCTCGGGGGAGATGCTGAGCTGCACCTTGGCAGGGCATTCCCTGGTAAATGAAGCATCCCAGTCCCTCCCTGCTGCTAATTAGGGGCTGCCTGAGGAAGTGGCGTGGCTGGGGTGGCACTTTGGGACTGGTGTCATTACACCTGGTGCTGTGGGTAGTTGTTCTTCTTTGTGCAGGAGCAGCTCAGCTCTGATGTTGCCCTGATGGGCTCCCAGAGGCTCCTCGTCACCTCTCTCCTTTTGCCTTTTCTTTGCTTGTGGCACAAAGCTGTGCCAGAGGAGGGTTAGATTGGGTATTAAGAAATATCCAGAGGGTGGCTGGCACTGAAGAGGCTCCCCAGGGCAGTGGGCACAGCCCCAAGGCTGCCAGAGCTCCAGGAGGGTTTGGACAACGCTCTGAGGGACAGGGCGGGATTGTTGGGGTGTCTGAGCAGGGCCAGGAGTTGGACTGGATGGAGTGTTCTCCAGGCTGTGGCAGTGTCCTTCTCCTTGTCTGGACTGTTCAGAGGAGAGTCTGGTGTGCTCCTCACCTTCCCAAATCAGCCAGAGGACAGGAAACCCTCCTTAGCATCCCTTTATGCTCTTTCCCCTGAACCAGGAGGTCACTGCAGGATGGAAGGTAGATCCTCATACAACCTCAGGGAACAGCACACCTGATCTGGAGCCGAGGCTCTGAACCCAGGCAGGTCTTTCCCTCTTCCCAAAGCCTTTTCACTCGTGCAGGCTCAGCCTGGGGGCCGAGGAGCTGTCCCTGGAATCCCGCTGGCTCAGCCGTGGTGGGAAGCTCCTAGTGAATTATTTGTGACGACACCTTTTTGCTTTCCCCTTCCTCTCTAGGAAACTCACTCTATTATCCTTGTTGTTGTTGTTATTTATTGTCCCCTTTCTGCTCCAGTGCTGCTAAGAGCCAGGGAGAGGCTTGGCTGGAATTCAGAGTGGTGACAATGAGCCTGAGCCCCTTCCCTTTTGTTCCCTGCAGCTCGGATGGATACCTCACTGAGCTGCCTCCCTCCCTCATCTCTGGCGGCTCAGGAGGTTTGGGAAAGGTCAGCTCCGAGCTTTTTTTGGCTCCAGACAAGTGCTGCTGTCATTGTTTGCCAAATGCCTTGCTGTGGCCCGTCTCTGCAGCGCTGGGATGATTTAAGCAGAGCTGTGCTCTCACCTCCCTGCACAGCCCCGCTGCCCCTTTGAAGCTCAGTCTCCAACAAGTGACAAAAGGTTTTGAAGTAAGAGAGGAGAGATTCAGGTTGGATGTCGGGAAGGAATTCTTCTCTGTGCAGGTGGTGAGGCCCTGGCACAGGTTGCCCAGGGAAGTTGTGCACTCCCCATCCCTGGAAGTGCCCAAGGCCAGGTTGGAGCAACCTGGGCTCGTGGAAGGGGTTGGAATGACATGGCCTTTGGGCTCCCTTATAACCCAAAGCATTCCATGACTCCACGATTCCTGAGAGATCCCACCTCCCCTCCCCAGCTGGGCTCAGGCACAGCCTCCAGCCCCCCGAGCAGGGGCTCCAGCTGACGATGAGGAGTGGGAAAAAAACCTCCACCAACCAACCCCTTTGCTCGTCACACTTTGTGACAGCGTTCGTCCTTCTGGCTCTGCTGCTCAGCCTGACCACCAAAACTCGCTGAAGAGGGGGAGGTCTTCATGGTGGATTGGGCTGTACCCTGCTGTCCCCTCCTCCCCATCCCCTGCAGAGCAGCTCCAAGCTGTGCAAGCTGCTCTCCCAGGGCTGGAGCTCGTTGGCAGGGAGTGGGAAGGTGTCTGTCAAACACCCGGGGCTGGAACAGCTCACTTGTACAACATTCAGCTGATGTGGAGCAGGAGGTAAATAAATAGCTTTTATGCCATCCCTTTTGCTCACTTATTGGCATATTATGTTCCTGAAGTGTTTGTGGAATACAGTTCTGGGGGCAAGCGTAGACCGAGACTTCAGTTCTTATAAAATAGCAGTTTTCTTTATGTGGCTTGACCCAATTAACTTGATAATACATTGTGGCCTTTCTGTCATTTACCATTGCTTTTATCACTTCAGATGAAGAGATTCTTTAAAATATGCAGGCGAAATAATTAGAGGGAGGATCACTTAAAAGGTGACAGGACCCAGTTTGGCTCCAAATCTGAAAGAACAATTTTAAAAGTGCCTTTGAAGAAGACGTGGCAAAGCCATGAGCAGTGTTTTCATTTCTTCTGAAGTCCTGTCCAGGGCTGAAAGCTTTTATTTTTTTCCTGCCCAGTTCACAGGCTGGAAACTGTAGAATACAGGGACCAAAGGCAGAAGTGCTGTTGGTGCAGAGAATTATGGAAATGTGGAAACATTGAGGTTGGAAAAGCTCTCCAAGGCCTTTGAGTCCAGCACAGTGTTCACCACTCAACCATGTCCCCAAGTGCCACATCCACACAGTTTTTGTGGATGCACCACTTCCCTGGGCAGCATGAGGCAGGTTAGGAAGGAAATACAGCCAAAACCAGCAGCAAGGCTCTTAGGATTTTGGAGTTTTTGGGGTGGTTTGTGCTGCCCTGAACTGGGTCCTACCAAAAACTTCTCCAGTTTGGGTGGGACCAGACCTGGCATGACCTTGTTGGACGTGTGAGGCTCCTTTCCCGTGCTCTGAGGCAAGAACAGGAGGGCTCAAGAAAGGAGTGAGTTGTCTTTGCCACCTGCTTTAAAACCCTGGGTGTGCTTCCCACCTTGGTTTCCCATCTGCAGCCTGGGCAGCTGGGGTTCAGGTGGGCACCTCTCCCCATCTCCTTCGAGCAGGAAGGTGGTTGAACTCCAGGCTGGCTCTGCATCCCACATCTGGCTCTGCATCCCACATCTGGCTCTGCATCCCACATCTCCCAGCTCCCTTCCCTTCCATTGGTCTGAGCTCCAGGGCAGCTCCATCTCAGCCTCCCCTGTGACTAACAGTGCATTACAGGGACATCCCTGCTCCACAGCCCTGTGCCTGGGGGTGGAGGGAACCGGGATGAATCCCCCTGCACCCTCTAATCTCGCAGAGATCAACACACTCATCTGCATTTAAAAACAAAACAAAACACCAAAACCAAAAGGGAGAAAGAGCAGCAGCACGAAGTGCAGGAGAGACTATCCAGAGAGCTTCATAAAAATGATGAATTGCCTTTAGATATTGGGCAGGAGAGGAAGAGAGGGTTCCTCTTTTATTTCATGACATTAGGCTGTAGTGGCGCGTTGTTGCCGCTGCGAGTGTGAGCTCGGGGGAATCTCAAGGCAGTTTCGTAGCCAAACGCCTGGGAATTGAAGTGTAAATGAGCCGCTGCTGAGCATTTTATTTTGCCTTTTATGATTTCTCTTTCTCTCATTATGTAGGTCAATCTCCATTTCTAACGTGGGGCTGTGTGTGGGGGCAGGGGGGGGCACAGGGAGGTGAGGGGTGCCCCGGGGTGATGGGTGCCGTGGTGGTGATGCCAGTGCAGGGAGCAGCTGGAGCTGTGCCAGGGCAGGGTCAGGTTGGATCTCAGGAGAAGGTTCTTTCCCCAGAGGGTGGTTGGGCACTGAACAGGCTCCCCAGGGTTTGGTCACAGCCCCAAGGCTGCCAGAGCTCCAGGAGGGTTTTGGACAACGCTCTGAGGGACAGGGTGGGATTGTTGGAGTGTCCTGGGCAGGGCCAGCAGTTGGACTCAGATCCTTGTGGGTCCCTCCCAGCTCAGGATATCCCACTATTCTCTGGTCTTTACCTGCCCAGCAGTGCACGTTGGGATTGTCAGGCTGTGCCTGTGGCATGCCCAAGGGGCAGAAAGCTCTGGCATCTCCCTGCTCTCTCTGTCTCTCACCTGTGCCCTCTGAGCCTGGAGACACCTGTCCCCTCCCTCCCTGCCTCCCTGAATTACATCTCCTGCCACATTAGCAATTCAGATGCTGCACTGGCCTGTGCTGGCTGCTCTGATTAGTGGATGTGATAAAGAGATTCCTGCATCTCCCTGGGAGTTGTGGTGTGGCTGCTTTGCATACCCGGCAGTAAATCAGGCACAGTGTGTGTGTGTGTGATGGGGATGATCTGTCCCACACTGAGACAGGTGAGGACGTTTCCTTCTGCATTCCTTGCCTGCCCTTTCCCTTGCTGGTGAGCAGAAAACGCTCACAGCTGTGTTGTGGAGGAACAACTGTGTGTGTGTGTGCCCTAAGCCAGGAAAGGACCTTGCTGTGCCTGGAGCATCCTCCTGGAAGTCTGGGGACCCTTGAGGGCTGGAGCACTCCTTGTCCTGAGCCTGGGTGGTGTGGGCAGCTCTGCCAGGGAAGGCAGGGGGCTGGCACGGGTGGGTGCATCCCTGTGGACCCCTCCTGTGGGCAGAGGGGCCGTGGCTCACCCTCCTCCCCGTGTCTGTGCCCGCAGTGTGCCGAGGGATGCTGTGCGGGTTCGGGGCCGTGTGCGAGAGGAGCTCCAGCGACCCCTCCCAGGCCTCCTGTGTCTGCAAGAAAACAGCGTGTCCTGTCGTGGTGGCCCCTGTCTGTGGCTCGGATTACTCCACCTACAGCAACGAGTGTGAGCTGGAGAAGGCTCAGTGCAACCAGCAGAGGAGGATCAAGGTCATCAGCAAGGGACCGTGCGGTGAGTGAGGACAGGATCTCCTGGGGAGGGTCCAGGGAGACTTGTCCTGAGCTCACTGACGTCATCACTGGCGATGTCCTGGGTGATGGGGACATGTCTGATGGGGAGG